CCTGTCGTAACCTTTTGGTATGCGCCACACATCCAACTTTCGCAGGCAGTAGAGGAACTGTGATTGAACTCACTACTGGGATTGAGTTAGTCCTCATTTGAAGGACTTTCTGCGGAAAACTGGCATTGCCGTAAAAGAATGGAGAACTGTCCCTAAGCCCAGGGGAAGGAGTTCCTGGATGGGTAAGTCTACTTGCTTGTCCAAAGGAGAGTTTCACACGACGGTAACCACAATTTTGCATCAGGGGTTCCCTAAAGCTTCCCCCCCTCCCCAGGAGTATTGCCTTTCGTGATTTCCCGGTGAGCTCTTCATGCCAAGACTCCTTCCCAGGAATACCTAGTACCAGAAATCCCTGCTTTCTGAGGAATCTGGAGGTTTCAATCCAAAAACCCTCTCGGTGGTGGCGGCGCTTCGTGCCACTGCATCATCCAAACGCACTAGGAGAAAAAATTTCAAGAAAATATCCAGTGCAGTTATTCAACTTCGCAGAGACTTCACAGCGAATTGCGGTTTTCATGTGACAAGGTGAAAGGGCTCCCAAGAAAAACACCGTGTTTACAGACTCAAAACCCTGCAAACAAGGGGTTTTTTGCTTGTTTTGAATATTGCGAAATTGTGGATGAAAGGTCGCTCGTGTTGATGTAAGATTTTCCAATTAGTCAATACTTCCCGGACAAGAAGTTCATTATCTGTACCTCCAAAGATGACGACGCTATTGGCACCTCATTGCCGAAAGTCCCCCATTGCTGTGCTCTCACACTCTACTCATATAGGTCTCCAAATGACGACGGTGGGTGAGTTCGATACGGCAAAGCGTCTCGTCCCCTCCCATCGGCTGCTACCTTCGGCTACCTAATTAATACTCACACAGCCGCCGTTTCTCTCTCGCACATTCTCACTGCAATAGCCACGAGCCACACGAGAGCCGAGCCCCAAGGAAACAAAGAGCAGTGTCATCATTTAGACATATTCTCGGCTGCTGGCAGTTTCTCGATTTGCTGTTGCTAGAGGGCATTTAAAGTGGGGGGGGGGGGCATTTTGCACTTGTGTTACTTCTTATGAGCGTCTCGAGGCATCTAGGGGGCCTCATGAGATTACAAGAATTGACAGGTTTTAACTTGGTGGCCTAACGAGCGGGCTCCAGCTTCTTAAGAGTTCTCAGGTTTCATCAAAGTTAAATGGAAGCTGAGCTATCTCTTTGCTTTCGACCCCCCTCAACATACTCATTTATAGGATTTTACAACATAGAACATTATTTTTCATTTTCAACTTTTCTTAGACGTGTAACCCGGAACCAGTGAAGCAGTGAAAGTGCAAAGTGCCCCCCCGTCGCTGAACTGCACCTTCAAAGTGTTTATTCGACTGAAGTGCAGTGGGCCGCTTACCCCTTGTAGCATTGTCTGTTGTATAAGGCTGAGGTAGGGATTTGTGTCGACGGTAGCGGCTGGTAGAGCGAATTGTTGCTGCGTTTGAAGTTGCATCAGCAAATTTCGATAGATCATCAACTGGTAGTGATTGAACTGCGGTACCATGGACGGTGCGCTCTGAAATCAGTAGTAAAAATGTCTGCAGGAGCTTGAAAACTTGGCCCAGGCCCACCTGGCCGGAGACTTGTAGAGTTCTCTTACCTGCTGGATGCATTTCTTGCTGCTCATATGGGACGAGTAAGAGCCGGAGTGCGAGAATCGCTTGTGGCAGGAAGGACACTGAAAGAACCAGACTGAATTCCCTTGGAGTGCTGAAAACGGCAAAATGCTGCCAAAGATGGTATTTCGGCGTGTAATGACGACGCAATCGAGACCCCCATACACCTCTCGATGAGAGCCAATTCACCACCGTCGCCCAGACCCCGGGAATTGTTCGCTGCCACCGTCTTATTCGCTCAATCTTGCAATAACAAACCTGGGCGCAGTTCGGTGACGGGGGGCATTTTGCTCTTTCGCTGCTTCACTAGTTCCGGTTTACAAGTCTCACTCTGGTGAAACCTGTGAACTCTTGTGAAGCTGGAGCAAGCTCGTCAAGCCATCATGGTAAAACCTGTCAACTCAAGAAAAGGCTCTCTAGATGGGTCGACACGTCGATGGGAAGTAGCAAAAGTGCAAAATGCCCCCCGTCGCCGAACTGCCCTACAAACCTGCTCACTCTCAGCAAAATCTACTGCTAAATTAGCTTTCCAAGGATCTTCTTTGGTAGGTTCTTTTGCCTCCCAGACGCTATCTTGGCCAACGTCTGCCACATTAAGTCCCTAGACAGGACTGGATGGATGGCGAAAGGGGATTTCGGGCAGCAACTATGTTTGGCCGAGGCGAAGAGCACACGCAGGTCCCCTGAGGCATTTCATTAATTCATGGAAGCGCCAGGTTCGCGCGCCGTGAATTCATAATCCGCCCGCGACGCAGCAGCCGCTAGACGCGACGCGGCGGCTGTCAATATCAGCTGCTTCAGCTCACCTGAATGGAGCCCGTCATCGTGTTACCTGGACGACAACCAATAATCACTTGGACAAATCGCGCACTACGGTAACCCCAGCAGCAGTCGCCACACACCTTACGCGTACTGTAATAACCAGGTAATCAAGCTGGTTTCAGTGGGCAATAGCAAAGCCGGAGAGAAGCTGGAGAAGTCTGGTACCGGTATGGGGAAGACGATGTACAGTACGCTAGGACGTGCCGAGAACTGTTCCAGGGACAGAAAATGACACCAATGGGCGTGGCTTTATTATGGTATGGACGTAGGGGCACGTATAACACCTACGCTGTAAATGAATCGCAGGAGAACATTCATCTGGATTTCTCAGCGATAAACACTAACAACGGTATGATGCTTTTAAGCAGCATTATGCAACCCCGTCATCAACCACCCACGATTGTAATGCGCGCTGATCAGATCGCTTGTTGAATCGGTGGAAAAGCGGTCAGCGGATTTACGAGGCTAAGGTCCTATTGGAAGGCTGGGAACATTCCTTACAGGCTCTCAGAACCGCACTTGTCCTTTTCTGCTAGTTTCCTACTCATATCAAACAAGCAATACTTCCCGGATAGGAATTACCTCATCCTTCTTCGTTTAGTGGGGATCGTGACGTCATCGAGCATTATGCTCGCTCTTTGCTGCGACTACGCTCCTACAGCTGGCGAAATCTGATCGAGAACGCAAGAATTGCGCAAGAGAAACCAAGAATTCCCAGGAAAGGAGTTTGTTTGGGAACTTATGAGCCAAGGGTTGGGCAATGGTGTCCTTAAGAGCGCCAGAAGGTACTTAGCAAGGGTTTAACGATGAGTTTTTATAGAATGAAGAGCTAAATCACAAAGCCACCCAGTGATTTAGATAGCGTCTCAGAGGCAGCAGTGGAGAGCAAGTGAGAAGATTAAGCATCGAATGACAAAAAAACTGCCGCGTACGAATCCCATAAAAAACCATTTTTGCACTGCTAATCCTTCGGAAACCCGAGCTAAGTTCTCAAAGTCTACATGCGGAGGATTTCGGGCCCTCATTTGGTTGCCGCCAGGTGGAGCTTATTCACTTATCTATCTCGCGAAGAATCGATTCAAAGAAGAAGCCTACCTTCACTCTACTCTTAACTCGATCATCCTCCTCCACCTCCTCGAGGTAGTTTTACCGCTTGACAAGACGCCCCTATCTGTTCCATCCCTTGATCCCCAAAGGGCATTTGTCAAAATAC